CCAATACACGTCACCTGGCGAGTCTAATACGATATTAATCCGTTCCTGAGAGCTCATCGTGAGCCGAAATTATCGTAATGCGAATTAATTTTCCCCATAAGAAATAATGGAAATCAAATTAATCTGTGGAAGACGCCCAAAAGTCTGAAAAAAGAATTTTTTTACCACGATATATTAATTTTAATACACACAAACTTAAGAAGGCATGCACAATTAATACTCTACTAAGAATAGAATACATGACACTTACCTTTATTGAAGATCTGGTGATGATTGATGGGATGGGAGGAGGGGAGAGTGTGGAAGTTGTTATTGTTTAGAATGGGAATCCCCTTCCATTAGGACTTGAGGTATCAAGTCCTTTTCTGGGGTTACTTCCCTTCTTCTTTTAATGCCACTAGGACCAGCTTGAGAGTCACTGGACCTCTATCGTACAACAAATCTGTCCATAGAGCTCTGTACCTCCCGTTCCTTTAAGATTTGCCTAAAATGGGCCACAACATTGTCATTGTAATAGTCACCAGCACGGCTTGCAATAGCTGTGTTAGGGTGATTTTCATCCATAAAGGTTTGCAGTTCAACCCGCTTTGCACACATTTCCTTAATCTTTGAAGTAGGCACAATGGATTCCACAACTGGCATAGGCTTCTTAGGGTTAGCCCCAAACCCTTCAAAATCTTTCTTAATTTCCTTACTAATTCTCACCCATTTTACTGCAGGGTTGGCACTAGAAGCTTTCTTGGGGCCCATGGTGACTTATTTTGCAGTTCCAAGCACAAAAAACACTGGGGAAATGTACCGAATGTATGTGTGGATATGACCGCACTGGCTGGCTTGTAAACACTGGCGCTGAGACCACACGTGGGACGCATCCCGGACGAATCACGTGAGGCGAGTTTTTTATCGTGAGGTGAGGCAAAATTTTTGTGTTCAAATGCTTCATATGGCGGATTTAACGTAACGCGATGCGGTCATAGGGCTGGGGTCCACTGTATTCTTTCACAAGTGTGCTGATATTATTTATACCATTTCTACACTAATGCAGTACTCTGCATAACAGTAAATCTTCTATTTTTTGTGAGAATAAAAATTCAAATTGGAAAGCAAAAGAGATGTAAGAGGGGCCTGGGGACATGACTAATGAACAGAGAAAATGTTATTTTAGTGCCAGGAATGTCTGTCTTGTTTATTCTGGACCCTATTTGGAAATTAGCATCTTCTGAAATTTGTGTGAAATTTGCAAAATTGCCAATTTCTGACCACTTTATTGGATAGTTGAAATCTGTAAATGGGTGGTTTCTTGTACTCATTCGATAGGAAAAATGGAGTTCTAGCGAAATACAGTGGACCCCCGGTATTCGATGGCATCGGTATTCGATAAATCCGGTTTTCGATGCATTTTAATGCAAAAAATTTTCCTCGGTATTCGATACAATTCGTACGAGACCTGTCCACGTGTGGCCTGAACTGCTCTGTGTGTGCAAGTGTTTACAAGCCAGCCAGTGTGCGCGCATCTAAGGATACATTCGGTACATTCCATATTATCCATATTATCACTGAGTTTGGTACTAGTTTCTGCAAAATAAGTCACCATGGGCCCCAAGAAAGCTTCTAGTGCCAACCCTTCGAGAAAAAAGTCGCTAATGACTTATGAAACGAAGAAAGAGATAATTGCAAAGTACGAAAGTGGAGTGCGTGTGTCGGAGCTGGTCAGGTTGTATAATAAACCCCAATCAACCATCTCTACTATAGTGACCAGGAAAACGGCAATCAAGGAAGCTGTTCTTGCAAAAGGTGCAACTGTGATTACGAAACAGTGACCGCAAGTGTTAGAAAATGTTGAGAGATTGTTATGGTGTGGATAAATGAAAAACAGATAGCAGGAGATAGTATCTCTCAAGCGATCATTTGTGAAAAGGCTAGGCAGTTGCATGACGATTTGGTAAAGAAATTTCCTGCAACTAGTGGTGATGTGAGTGAATTTAAGGCCAGCAAAGGTTGGTTTGAAAGATTTAAGAGTCGTAGTGGCATACATAGTGTGATTAGGCATGGTAAGGCTGCCAGTTATGTTGTGCGACAGAAGTCCAGTGACTCTCAAGCTGGTCCTAGTGGCATTAAAAGAAGAAGGGAAGTAACCCCGGAAAAGGACTTGCTACCTCAAGTCCTAATGAAAGGGGATTCCCCTTCGAAACACTAACACCTCTCCCCTCCTCCCATCCCATCAATCATCACCAGATCTTCATTAAAGGTAAGTGTCAATTATTTTATTGTTATTGTAATTATTCTATTGCATTAAACTTAATATTTCATGTAGTAAATTTTTTTTTTCATACTTTTGGGTGTCTTGCATGGATTAATTTGATTTCCATTATTTCTTATGAGGAAAATTGATTCGGTTTTCGATATTATCGGTATTCGATGAGCTCTCAGGAACGGATTAATATCGAATACCGGGGGTCCACTGTAGGTATGATTTTTGTCGACTAGTACACTGGAATTGGCCGAAAATAGGGCTCAAAGTGGGCGAAATTGCCAATGCGTAAACATCATTGAGACCGCTAACTTCAAGACAGCATAATTCCGTAAATTTTCCATCAAATTTGATACTTTTGGTGTCATTATGATTGGGAAAAAATTCTCCATCATTTTATAAGAAAAAATAATTTTTTTTTTTTCTGAAAAATTTTCGACCCTGAGAACGAGTTTAGGAGAGGGCCGCTCGACCCTGAAAGGGTTAATTATAATCATCTTAATGTTAAATGTATGGATATTTTTCTAGACCATCCACTCAAAACAATGACGTCAGTTATTGTTAAATGTAGCCTTTTCTTTCAATATACTCAGAGTACTGGCCATCCCTATGCTATAGCCAAAATGTTGGTTGCCAGTACAGTAGGGCCCCGCTTTACGGCGTTTCACTAATACGGACATTTCAAATTATGACGAAAACTCTCTATACGGCTCCCCCACCTGACTTTCTAATGTGGTCACTATGCCCCACCCGGTTTGTTTACATTCTCCAAGAACACGACTCTCCATAATGTCTAGAAACTCCAAAATTTCAAGTGTTTTAAAGTTCTTCTCTTTCAACACACCGGCCGTATCCCACCGAGGCGGGTGGCCCAAAAGGAAAAAACGAAAGTTTCTCCTTTTACATTTAGTAATATATACAGGAGAAGAGGTTACTAGCCCCTTGCTCCCGGCATTTTAGTCGCCTCTTACAACACGCATGGCTTACGGAGGAAGAATTCTGTTCCACTTCCCCATGGAGGTAGAGGAAATAAACAATAACAAGAACTAGTAAGAAAAATGGAAGAAAACCCAGAGGAATGTGTGTATATACATATATGCTTGTACATGTATGTGTAGTGTGGCCTGAGTGTAAGTAGAAGTAGCAAGACGTACCTGAAACCTTGCATGTTTATGAGACAGAAAAATGGACACCAGCAATCCCACCATCATGTAAAACAATTACAGGTTTCCCTTTTACACTCACTTGGCAGGACGGTAGTACCTCCCTGGGCGGTTGCTGTCTACCAACCTACTACCTAAGTGTTTTAAAGTTATTTTATATTTTATAAATATTCTAATAATTATACTTAAGTGTACCTGTTTCTAAATAAACTTACACACTGTGCTAGCATTCATGTACAAGTTAAAATCACTAAGAGTGTCTTATTAGTTTTGAAGATGCCATGTTAATAATAATAATAACACACAATAATAATCACTCTGAGGCACTCTAAATGTTGTATATTAATATATGCATTTTGATTAATCCATCTATGATATTTTTTTTCGAAATTATATACGTAATAAACACGCTATGTAACATACAGACATTATTAATACACCCCACACCACTCTACAAAGGTGGCAGTAAAATAATTGCAAAGAACTACTGACCGAAAGCACTAACATTCTATATCATAAAAATGTTTGAAAGGGTTCTAAGAAACAAGATTGCCAACCACCTAGATACCCATCAATTACACAACCCAGGGCAACATGGGTTTAGAGCAGGTCACTCCTGCCTGTCTCAGCTATTGGACCACTATGACAAGGTCCTGGATGCTATAGAGGATAAACAAAATACAGATGTAGTATACATGGACTTTGCAAAAGCCTTCGACAAGTGTGACCATGGTGTAATAGCCCACAAAATGCGTGATAAAGGAATAACAGGAAAAGTTGGTAGATGGATCTATAACTTTCTGACAAATAGAACACAAAGAGTAATAGTAAACAGAGTAAAATCTGAAGCAGCTAAGGGAAAAAGCTCTGTTTGACAAGGCACAGTACTTGCTCCAATTCTATTCCTCATCCTTATAGCTGATACCCAGCCCTAGAGAAACCGAATAGGGAACTAGGGTGTGGCGCTGCTAATGAAACCCCTCTGGAAAATTTATTTGTTATACCCAGCCCTAGAGAAACCAAATAGGGAACCTAGACAGAGATGTAAGCCATAGCTCCATGTCTTCCTTTGTGAATGACACCCGAATTGCCATTGAAGACACCACAAGACTCGAAGCGAAAATCAACCAAATTT